CCCCCTGGCTGGAGACCATAACTGATGGCTGTTAAGACACTGCCCGGATGGACCCGTGTGGCGGTTTCCCCTCAGGGGGCCTGAGGAGAAAGAAGGCGGAAGGATCGCCGCTGATCAAGCGGAATCTGACACATACTAATTCCTCCCGGGGCTCCTCCTGCCCGCAATTAATCCGACCTCGTATGCCAAATTGCCAAGTGCCAACCGCGCAGGATCCATCATCAAGCCGTTGGGGATCTGGTGGGGCGTCCTAAGCTCCAACCCGGTTCCGCCTGTCCGCGCCCAGTCAGTCAGTCATCCTTCACGGCTTCCTCCGTGGGTCGATGGAGGGCCGGGTCAGACCACCTGGTGGGCCAGACTGAGGGCATCCTCCTGATTCGGTGTAGCATGCCTCGTCACCCCTCCAGGCCACGATGGCCCCGGGGCAGTTCGGTGCTCTGCCCAGACCGCCACGTGTGCGATGTGTCCTTGGCAGAGGCTTTATGGTGCTTGATTCTTCCCTCTGGGAGCTTGTGTTGGTTAGCCGGCTTGGCCCTGGCTTAGTCCAGGGTTCGGGCGACGGTGCCTTGAATCCGGTAGCATTATCATCCATGGCACCGGCCAGAAGCTACATCCCATCCCTGCTCCCAGTGCCGTTTGGCTTCCATGTCGGGCATGGCATGGCATGGCATGGCATCCCTGAACCCCTGCCATTCCAGATCATTCCATCATACCCATGCAGGAGGACTGCATGCTAGTGCTGCAGGATTTGGGGCGCCCCATCGGATCTCACTCGACAGTAGCGTCGGAGTCTTCTGGCCAGCCCCACCGCTGGCACGGCCATGGCGATCCCTCTGCAGCATCAGACATTCTAAGAATATTTCCTCACAGGCGACGGTCGTCACCGTCCCGCTGCCTGGAAGGATTCGCCTGGTGCATCTCCGCCCTCTGCGGCGCGCCCCGACCTAGGAATCGAATGGTTGACTGGCTCCTGGCTCGGCCCCGATTCCCATTCCTACCCGTTTGTCCTGCAGGCGGCTCCCAGGCGTGGCACCTGGCTTGAACCTGCGTGGGCGGAGAGCACTAGGCGGACGAGCCATCGGTGACGACGCGACCCCGTGGCGCTGAGTAGGTGCTGACGGCCGGTATATAGACATCCCTTGCCGGCAAACCTCCTGCCCGCAGCCTCGGAGACTCCCACGGACACCCTCAGAGCCCTTCATCATGACCGCTTCTCACTCCTCAACGAGTTCCTTAGAATCCCTGATGCCCTCTAACTCCGGGAGCAGCTGCACGGCCGGGCCATCGCTATCGCTTAGACTGTCGTGCGACCGCTGTCGGGTCCAGAAGCTTAAATGCTCTGTGCCAGCCGGCGCTAGGGCTTGTCAGCGATGCACCCGCGCGCGCGTGCCCTGCGTCTTTGGGCGACGAACCCCCTCGAAGCGCACCAATCGACGCCGCAACACGACCTGCACCACGCCGGTCACTCCTCCACTCACGGCGGACTTGGCAGACACCGCGCCCTCGGCCGCATCCGGGCGAGCCCCAACGCCCGAATCTCGAATCGAGGCACCCCCGGTCGTGCCGGAGCTCGAAGACCTGGGATCCTGTGATCCGTCCAGCACGTGGGACAGCGCAGCCCTGGGGCTACATGGGCTCGCCCCCCATCTGTCCGAGGGGGGCAGCGACACGACGGGCTACGACTGGTTCCAGGCCGATCTGGCGCTGGACGACGGCACTACCTTTGATACTATGGGCCCCCCGGACCTGGCCTCCTGGTCCCAGTTGGCCACCATCACCGCGGCTGTGAGCTGGCCAGCCGACGGCGTTCCCCCCGTCCGCCCATCCCCGAGCAGCCACGCCATCCGCGCCGGCGAGCAGCTGACGGCGTTAGTATCGGAGATTCAGCTGCAACTGAGGCAGCTAGAGGAGGGTCCGTGGGGCACCGACAACCCCTGCAGCCTCGACGACTACCCAGTGGGCACGATTATTGAGCTCTCGCAGCAGTTTAGCGTCCTCGCCGGGCCCATCCTCGGCAGTACGGTGCACGTGGGTGGCGGCGGACCCGAGGGGATCGTAGACGAGCACGACAAGATAAGCAGCGCGGCGGACACCCCGACGATGCTGCTCGTCATGTGTGGCTATATGTGGCTGGTCCGCATCCATGGAGTCGTGCTAGGGCACTTTCAGAAACACCTACATCGCATGCCCACCAGCTATCGCTTACGGACCACGGGCATGCTCAGCCCCAGGGGCACCAGCAGCCCAACGACGGCGGGTCCGTCGCTGCGGCTGGGGGAGCTGCCCTGTGCTGATGCCGCTCTCGGGTTACAGCAGATCCACACAGCGGTGCGCATGCTGCTGGACGTGCTGCATGACATCGAGGGACACCTGGGCCGGGGGGCCGTCGTGGCTCGCGACATGGCCGTGGCCATGCTGCTCAACTCGGGGCGACGCCAGGATGGCAGCTCGGGGGGGTTGGGCCAGAAGGCGACGGCCGTGAAGGAGTTGTTACGAGAGCGGATGGGCCTGTGAGGGGACCTGCGGTGCCGGCGCACCACATATTATTTGTATCTAATATTATGGAAGCGATTATGAGACCATGTTAATGCATCCTTCACTATACCATCCCCTTGATGATGAGTTCTCGGCTCTCCACTGCTCTATTCCTTGCTGCTGCGCATCTAGTACAGCTGGTTAATGAGGCCTGACTGTGAATCTCTTCTCCACGTAGTAATCCCTGCGCAGGTAGACACTGCATACTCCTTCTCGGCCATTGCTGAGTTCATCAGCACGGAAACCATCGGCCGGAGTATTTCGGACCCTTTCGGCCACCATCCTGCCCCATCTGCCTGTGCGTATCATCTTCACGACCGATCGGACTCAGACTGTCTCACGTCCTAGCCTATGCCTACCCTTCTAAGCAACCGGTTATTAATGATTCCATCATGTTTCTGACCACCGCCCATCGATCCCCTCCAACACCACCATCATGACCATCCAAACCCAAACCGCCCTCATCGGCGGGCCCAACGACGACATCATCCTGTCCACTGCAGTTCCCCTCCCCCAAGAACCCCTCCAACCCCACGAACTCGCCGTCGCCGTCAAAGCCATCTCGCTCAACCCCGTCGACACCAAGCTCACGGGCGACTACCACACCCCCAACGCCATCCTCGGCTGCGACTTTGCCGGCGAAGTTACCGCCGTCGGCTCCCTCGCCGCCACACACTATGGCTTCCAAGTGGGCGATCGCGTCGCCGCGACCGTCATCGGGCTGAACGCTCTCCGGCCCACCATCGGCGCCTTTGCCGAACACACCATCTGCTCGGCGTTCGCCGCCCAGAAAATCCCCCAGGACGTGCCCGTAGCCTCTGCGGCCGGCGGCCTGGGCGGCCTCGCCTGGATCACGGTCTCCTGGGCGCTGTTTCACGAGATGGGCCTCCCAGCCGGACCCCAACTCGAGCCCTTGAACTCCCGTCTTCCCCCTCCTACCCGCAGCCCTAAAATCAACTACCTTCTCCCCAGCGCAGACACCACCAGCACCAAGCCCGCGACTCCGGTGCTAGTCAGCGGCGGCGCCAGCTACACCGGCACAGCGGCCATCCAACTCCTCAAACTCGCCGGCTTCACCGTCCTGGCGACCTGCTCACCCACCAACTTCGACCTGGTCCGCTCCTACGGCGCCGACTTCGTCTTCGACTACACCTCCCCCACCGCGGCCGCGGACATCCGGTCCCACACGCGCAACTCCCTCCACCTGGCCCTGGACTGCATCACCACGCCGGACACCACCCAACTCTGCTACGCGGCGATGGGTCGAACCGGTGGCCGCTACGTGGCCCTCGATCCATACAGTGACTCCGTGACGGCGACCCGGAAGATCGTGCACCCCGGATGGGTATTTGGGTTGGAGCCATTGGGGGAGAAGATTGCGTGGGGGGGGGTGCATAAGCGGGAGGCGAATGCGGAGGCGCGGGAGTTTCTGGAGGTGTGGAGTGAGACGATGAGGGGGTTGGTGGAGGGGGGGAAGGTGCGGTTTCATCCGGTGGTGGTGAGGGAGGGGGGGTTGAGGGGGGCGTTGGAGGGGTTGGAGGAGATTAGGAAGAAGAGGGTGAGGGGGGGGAAGCTTGTTTATTCGTTGTAGTGCTTTGTTTGTTCGTTTGGAATGATGTGATCATGCGGGTTGTGAAATATATGTTGAACATGCGAATGTTGTTCGGTAGCTGTGAATTCAGCATGGGTGATTCTGAGATGATGATGATTTACCTTCAAAAGAACCACTACTAGAATGTAAAAGCATTCCTAAAAGATGCAAATTAGATCTTTTCAAGTTCAGGGTCATCAGCCTCAAAATATTGCCAACATGGACATCAATCTGCCCAATATAGCTCAGTGCCCTGAGTTTGACGATGATATATCCTTTGAGCCTGTGGTAGTAGCTTTGACATTTACTCTCTCACAATCCACCCCCAGCATCTTTTACCAACGAGTTCCTATCGCCTACACAGCACCCAATACATCTTATTCCAAAGGGAATTACTCCACCTCCGGCACCCCCGCCACACACCTCTTCCCCCCCGACGCCAGAATCCCCGAATCCAATCCACACAACATAAACCTCACCCCCAACACATTAACCGCCCAATGCTGCACCTCCCAATTATCATAAATGCCCGCCAAACCCATCACCTTGCCAGACTTCCGACACGCCTGACTAATCCTCACCAGCGCATCACGGAATACCTCCGTCCCGAAGCCCCCAGGAACTCCCAACTCGATCGCCAGATCATTCGACCCGACGAGAAGGACGTCCGCGCCATCTACCGCTGCAATCTCCTCTACACTCTCAATTCCTTCTTTGGTCTCGATCATCAGGATGACGGTCGACGCGGTGGCGTTACTTTCGTTGATGATGTGATCCACCGGCGTAGCCTGGAGAGAAAAAACGGGCAATTGGCCCGTCATAGATCTCGTTCCTTGGGGGGGATATTTCGAGATCGATACCGCAGACTTCGCATCACCTATCCACCACCCACATCATTAACACCCCCCTCCCCTTTCACTAAAAAGAAAAAAAGGAAGAAAAGGCAACTCACCAACACAACTAACATGCGGAAAAATCACCCCCATCGCCCCCCCATCAAGGACCCTCTGCACGAACCCATTCCCGCACTGATACGGCACGCGCACAAACGGGGTAATCTGATTCAGCAGCCCCGCGCAGGACAACTGGCTGGCATCATCCAGGGAGAGGGTGGAATGTTCGAGGTCGATGAAGAGGGCATCGAAGCCGGAGTTTTTGGCGAGTTGGACGATTTGCGGGTTGGTGGTGAGGCGGATGCCGAAGGCTTTGCAGAGGTGGTTGGTGGTGGATTTGGTGAGGAGGGTGTTGAGGGCAGAGGGCATTTTGGATGGTGTGGTGGGGGTGTTTCGCTGAAGGATGATCGTGGATGGATCTATCGATGGTGTGATTTAAGGATTCTGCTTATTATCATGGTTGGTATGCATGGGTATAATATTATCCACTAGGGTTGGGGTCGTCATATGGAACACTGCCATCTCCGATAAAGTGCGAGTATGGCCACCTGTCAGACAAGCTTGTCTTATTCTGCATAATACAGTCTGCTTCAAAAATCTACTATAAGTGAATTGACGCTATTGAGGTATGTCGTAGTACTACTTGACAGCCAGTCAATTGAATATTTTCCTTCTCCTCAGGAATTTTTTTTTCTGTTAATGATGGATTGTGCTGGCTTGGTTTACTGCAGGCTGGCTTCGCAGTTTTTCGGCGATCGTCGCAACTTAGTCTCATCCCGACTCGGACCATGCAGGGGCCATTCGCGTCAGCATCTGCCGGGTGGAGTCGCCGTCCACATGGTTCGATCTAGCCCATTTCCAAGCATCAGCTAGAATATGGCCATGCATGGCCTGCCTCGTATGAAGCCAAGTATGCTATCGTTGTTCTCCTCGCGGCAGTGTCTGCTATACCTTACCTTCCCATCTAGCTAAACTGTCCAAGATGCTCCGCTGCTTCCAGACCAAGGCCCTGAGGGCTAGACCAGCCTGTCCACGCTCCGCACTCATTCTATCCACGCTCAACCCCCCACAAAAAGCATCTACAGCCAGGAATCAAAGTACTGCAGCGGCCACTTCACCTTCCATCAATACCCATGACCCTCTTATTGACCCGTGAGTTTTATACCCCATTTTGCAACTCAAACTCATCATCTAGCCCCGCGAGAAACCAGGTACAACCTCTGGTCCGACCACGCTCAAATGAAGCAGAACAATCGTCCGTTGACCCATCCCTATGCCACCACCACAGCACCTAACCATCCCAGATTCCTCGGCAAAACCGGCGGCGAAATCTTCCACGAGATGATGGTCCGGCACAACGTCAAACACATCTGTACGCCCCCCCTCAACATCCCATCAACCCCAACTAACCTGTCAGTCGGCTACCCCGGCGGGGCCATTCTCCCTGTCTTTGACGCCATCTACAAGTCCCCCCACATTGACTTCATCCTTCCCCGCCATGAACAAGGCGCCGGCCACATGGCCCAAGGGTATGCCCGCGCCTCCGGTCATCCAGGCGTCGTGCTGGTCACCTCCGGCCCGGGCGCCACCAATGTCATCACGCCCATGGCCGACGCCCTCGCCGACGGAACTCCCATGGTAGTCTTCTGCGGGGAAGTCGTCACCAGTGCTATCGGCAGCGACGCCTTCCAAGAGGCCGATATCATCGGAATGTCGCGGGGCTGCACGAAATGGAACGTGATGGTGAAGAACGTAGCAGAAATCCCGCGCCGAATCAACGAGGCCTTCGAAATCGCGACGAGTGGTCGGCCTGGCCCGGTGCTCGTCAGTCTGCCGAAGGATATCACGGCGGGGGTGCTGCGATGCACGGTGGACACGGAATCAGCCCTCCCGTTGGCATCGAGTCCGATGATGCGCGCGGCGTGGGAGGTCAGAAGACGGGGGGAACTTGATACAGCGATCCGGAGAGTGGCTCATCTGATCAACATTGCCAAAAAGCCCGTCATCTACGCCGGACAGGGAATCATCTCCTCCCCCGGGGGCCCGGAAATGCTACGCGCCCTCGCCGAGAAGAGCTCCATCCCAGTCACCACAACCCTACACGGCCTCGGAGCCTTCGACGAACTCGACGAAAAAGCCCTCCACATGCTCGGCATGCACGGATCCGCGTACGCCAACATGGCGATGCAAGAAGCGGACCTGATCATCGCCCTAGGCGGACGCTTCGACGACCGCGTCACCGGAAGTATCCCGCGATTCGCCCCGGGAGCCATGGCGGCAGCCAAACAAGGACGCGGAGGGATCGTGCATTTCGAAATCATGCCCAAGAACATCAACAAGGTGATCCAAGCCACCGAGGCCATCGAAGGCGACGTAGCCAACAACCTGCACCACCTCGTCCCACTCATCCAACCCCGATCCATTCCCGATCGCCAAGCCTGGTTCGACCAGATCAACACCTGGAAAGCCAAATGGCCGCTCTCCCACTACGGCCAGACCGACCGCCCCCACCTCATCCAACCCCAAACCCTCATCACCGAACTCAGCGCCCTCACTGCCCCAATCAAACAAAACACCATCATCACCACCGGCGTCGGCCAACACCAAATGTGGGTGGCCCAACACTTCCGCTGGCGCTACCCGCGCAGTCTCATTTCCTCCGGGGGCCTCGGCACAATGGGCTACGGCCTCCCCGCCGCCATCGGCGCCAAAGTCGCCCGTCCAGAAGCCCTAGTCATCGACATCGACGGCGACGCCTCCTTCAGCATGACCCTGACGGAACTCTCCACAGCCGCGCAATTCAACATCGGAATCAAAGTGATCGTGCTCAACAACGAAGAACAAGGGATGGTGACGCAATGGCAGAACCTCTTTTATGAAGATCGCTACGCGCACACGCATCAGACGAATCCGGATTTCTTGAAACTGGCGGATGCGATGGGCGTGCAGGCGCGACGGGTGGTCCAGCCCGAGGAGGTGAGGGGGAGTCTGGAGTGGTTGGTTGGGACGGAGGGGCCGGCGTTGTTGGAGGTTGTGACGGATAAGAAGGTGCCGGTCTTGCCGATGGTGCCGACGGGGAGGGCGTTGCATGAGTTTATTGCGTGGGATAGTGGTGCGCCCCCCCCCTTGGTTACGGATGAGATGTGAATGTTGCTAACAGTGATAGGCATGGATAAGAAGCGGCGGGAGTTGATGCGCGAGCGGACGGGGGGGGTTCATGGGTAGGGTTGTCAGAGTGCTAAGCATAACAAAGGGGAGGGGCTTGCTGGATATACCTAGTAAAAGTCCGGTTGTTTATTTCATAGGCGTTACATATAATTCATTGATACCATTTAACCAGTATGTTCACGCAGCAAGAGTAAGGATTAAAGTCCTTGGTCATGGACACGGTGATTTGCATTATCCTACTACGTGTAGCAAGATGCAGAGCATAACTGGCAACTTCGATGATCGCTAATTTCTAACTCCATGCTAAATATATGAGGCTTCCAGCAGCGGGCATCATCAATGTTATCCACGTCAAATACATGGTGTAAGATATGTGCTGCCTCGATTACGACCTCACCACCTTGTCAATAGACTCCGCCACATATTCCACATTATCATGCGTCACTAGACCAGTTAGCCAGAAAACCTCAACAGAGATCAGTCACTCACATCCTGTCATCGAAAGCCTCCCCGTCGGCAGCAAATAAACATGGAACCGCTCCCGCAGCGCCACCACCTGTTCCTGCGACAGTCCGGTCATGGAGAACATCCCGATCTGCATCCATTAGCATTATCACCATCAATTCCATCTTGAGTACGGCCTACATCAGTCACCAAATGTCCCCAATTCCCCGGCGTCTCCCTCCTTATCAACCCCTCCAACAACCTCCCCCTCATATCCCTCAACCGGCCACTCATCGTCTGCAAATCACGATACCACTGCTCTCTTAGCTTCTCATCCTTCATAATCGTCGCAATCACCTTGGCCCCAAACCCAGGCGTGGAGGTAATCTCCGCCCGGGAAATCTTCTTCAACACCGCTTCTACATTCGCCGCACTCGCCTGATCCCGCGTCACGATATGCAACGCCCCGCAACGTTCGCCATATAGCCCGAAATTCTTACTAAATGATTGAGCCACCGCGAACTCCAGCGTGCCGGCGGACCGCGTCGCGAAGTGTCGGATCGCCCAGGCGTCGTTGTCGGGGTTACCGGTTGCGAAGCCTTGGCTGGAATCTTCATTAGTTTTGATCATCGTAGAGGGTATGGGTTGGGGGG